CAAAGTGATAGAGGAGTCTGTGTTCAATTTGGAGGGTCAGCAGGGTAAGGATCACAACTTTACACTGAACATATTCTTTTAAAAAATATATATTTTTTATTGTTTTCAGAGAGGAAGAGAAAAGAAGAGAGAGAGAGAAACATCAATGATGAAAGAGAATCATTGATCGGCTGTCTCCTGCACTACTGAGATTGAGCTTGCAACCTGGGCATGTGTCTGTGACCAGAATCGAATCAGGGACCCTTCAGTCTGCAGGCTGACACTCTATCCACTGAGCCAAACCAGCTAGGGCATTACACTGAATTTTTTAAAAATATATATATTTTATTGATTTTGTACAGAGAGGAAGGGAGAGAGATAGAGAGTTAGAAACATAAATGAGAGAGAGTCATCGATCAGCTGCCTCTTGCACACCCCCTACTGGGGATATGCCCGCAACCAAGGTACATGCCTTTGACCGGAATCGAACCCGGGACCCTCCAGTCCCCAAGCCGACGCTCTATCCATTGAGCCAAACTGGTCTCGGCTACACTGAATTTTTGATGGTTAAGGTTACCTATTTGTGGTTGGTCACATTTTTTGATGAATCAATTCACTCGTCCAATTTGTATTTATTTAGAATCCTATAATGAGAATTGAGAATGGCCTATTTGGGCTTGTGGAAGCATACAGGAAGTGAGATATTTTTTCTGTGTCATGCTCTGAGCTATAGCCCACACTCACATTATCTCATTTAATGCTCACATCACCCCTTTGATGTAGCTATCATTATCTCTACTTGCATGGAGGAGAAAATGGAGGCTTAAGGAGATTAAGGAACTTGATCCAGGTCACTTAGCAAACAAGTTTCCAATCTAGGGAAGGCCCCAAATAACTAGTTTGGACTTCATTGTAATACTAGAGGTCTGATGCACAAAATTCGTGCAAGGGGCTCGGCCCCCTGCTGCTGCTGTGGAGGCTGCTTAGTCCAGAAGGACTTCAGGTCTAATTAGCATATTATGCTTTTATTATTATAGATAATATTGTAATTTTGTAGATCAATAGATCTTTTTGGTTTTTTGAACTCAGGAATGACTTGGTTAAAATGAACAGAAGGAAGAGCTGTCCAGTGGCATAATACAGGATTCACAGGAGGAAAGAACCGAGTGCAGGAAGATCAGATTGAAGGTTGTGGCAGCAACGCAGACCCTGCAGATGGAGTGATTAGAGTTTGGAACCAGGAAACCTGCTTCCAGCCCCTCTATACCATGAAACTGCTGACTGGGGTACCTCAGGCACGTTACAGCACCCCATCTCTGGAGCCTTCCTATCCCTCCCTAAATAATGGGTTGATAAATTGAGATGACAAAATCTCTTGGTTCTTTCAAATTCTAAAATTCTGTCTGATGCCTTTAAATTTTAATGCATTCTAAAGATTTATATATCAAGGCCCTAAATATCATCTGGGATCCAAGAAAGAATTTAGATGTCATAATTCTTAACAGTTTTCAAAGTGCAAAAGAGTAAAATTGCTTTTAAGAAGGTTTTCTAAACCAGACAAGCCAATTGTTTCTGCACCTTACCGTTTCCTCTGTGTAAGAAAATAATTTGGGTATTGCTGCTGCCACAGTGGTTAATGAATCAAATAGGAATATTACTCTGGAAACAAATGAAATGATGGAAACCCATCTCTAAGAAATGTTGCAGGCACAAATTGTATTGCCATCATATTAATTTGTTTTTCTGAGCTCATACTTAATTTAAAATGTGATATTCCTTTAACTGGACCAATCAACAGAGTTTAGAGCGATTTTAGAGATGGAGAATGCAGGAAATAAATACAGTAAATACAGAACATAATCAACAAAATAGTTGGTCTGTGTTCTGTGGCTTGAGATGCTTCTAGAAAGTATTTTTAATAAGTATCCGAGGAATTGGCTCTTGTTGGAGCCAGAGTCTTCTCTTAACTCACATCTGCAAACTTTTTAAAAAAAATATGTATTTTATTAATTTTTTACAGAGAGGAAGAGAGAGGGATAGAGAGTTAGAAACATCGACCAGCTGCCTCCTGCACACCCCCTACTGGGGATGTGCCCGCAACCCGGGTACATGCCCTTAACTCAAATCGAACCCTAGGCCCTTCAGTCCACAGGCCGACGCTCTATCCACTGAGCCAAACCAGTCAGGACTGCAAACTTATCTCCATCCTCGTTTGTTATAACAAATCAGTGTCCAGGCTCTGCTGAGCCCTCTGCCTCCGTGTTTCCTTTCTCATCTACGAAGACTTGGGGATGGGGTTTTCCTTCCTGGGTTGCACAAATGGATGTCTCCTCAGAATAGCCCAATAGGCAAAGGAATCTTCCTTTGATAAAAGCCATTTACATTATAAAAACCTGCTAGGATTCCATCACTCATAGGCTGAGGTCTAAATTGTTGAGATGCCCACCGTGACATCTTTTCCATCCTTCCCATCTGGGAGTTTTCTCCGTGGAATGCTCTGTTCTTTCTCTCCACCAGCTCACGAGCATCACCTCCTTTGATTCCATCTTGAAACTCACTTCCTTCACATGTTTTCCTGGTTTTAGTAGCTACTTAGCCAAGAAATAATGCCTACTTTTGAGCTTTCAATCATATGAAATACTTTTAGGATAAATTATTCACATCTACGGGTAAACAACTTACAGATTTTCATTCTTTGAGAAACCACCCACCAATAAACTAAACTAAATAAATAAATAAATAAATAAATAAATAAATAAAAGGAAAGAAAACCACCCAAACAAAATAGAAACAGCAGAATCATAGATACATAGAACAAACTGACAGCTGTCAGAAGGTGGGGGCAGTTGGAGGCTGGATGAAAAAGATAAGGGATTAGAAAACAAACAAACAAAGAACCCCACAGACAAGGACAACAGTATGGTGGTTGTCCGAATGGAAGGGGGTGCAGAGGGATGTGGAAGAGGGCACAGGGGGATAAATGGTGGCAGAAAGAGACTTACTTGGGGCAGTGAGCACAGGATGCAGGATGCAGTGTGTCACTGAGCTGTGCACTTAAAACCTGCATGGTTTTATTGACCAATGCCATCCCAATAATTTAATTTAAAAAGGGGGGGGGTGCGGGGGAACCACACCGTGATTTGATTTTATTTTGTTTTTTACTTGGTGAGAGAATACTCCCATTTTCAGGTGTCTCCCCGCCTTAGATCCATACTAGACCTAGAGCAAAATGACTCTTTTTGGTGACCTCTAGTGGGCACGAGACAATCCTACAAAATTACGAAGAAAAGTGAAGGGCCAAGTAAAAAACCCTCCCTAGTAACCCAGCTGGGTTCCTCTCAGGTCAGATGACCGCACCTCCCACCCAGCTCCACCCTTCTTTTTTTCCTGCCGCATTGGTTTTGCATGTCACGGAGTGTGCCTTTACCACTCACCTGTTCCACCTCTGCGCGGGCTGGGCTGCCGGTGTCAGACGTCGCTGTGACTTGCTGGCAGCAGCCGTTTAAAAATAATCCCGGCCGAGCGGAACCCATTGTCCAGGCATGGACCAGGGCAGAGCACAGGGCAGGTCTCTGCGGAGCTTCAGGGGTTCTTAAAGCTCCGAAGGCCGGTGCTGCAGCCAGCGTGCGGGGTGGGTGCACGGGGGCGGCGGGGAGGGGGGGAGAGAGCAATCAAGACTTTATGAAAAAGAGAGGATGCAGACGAAGGCAACGAACAGTTCTGTTGTTGCCAGTGGCAAAGGCGATTAGCCCCAGAGTCACGATGGGGTCCAGGCGCTCTCCATGTAGGCGCCCTCTTAGGACCTGTGCCTTCCCCACCCCAGAAAGCGGGGGGCTGGGGTCGAGGTGGGGCTCATTGGGGTGTGTGGCCGCCCTCGGAGCACGCGCTCCGTGATCTCCTCGGGAGAGGCAGAGCAAAGAGTCTGCAAGAGAAAAAGCAGCTGCTGGGGGACCTTCTCCGAGACATCCTTCAGGCGGTCTCAGACACCGGGCTGGGCTCTGGACAGTTTCTGGAAAAAGCTCTCCAAACGCCGTCTGTCCCCGCCCCTCCAATCCCGCACCCCTAGTCCTCACCCGCGCTTGCCGGGTTACCTCCCTTGGGGGTGAAGGGGGAAGGTTGATCAAGGGGTTTTGGGGTTCTGTCCAAGTCATCCCGATGGCCCCCAGGGCGGGACGCGCGGGAGCAGGTATAGCCCAGCCTCGGGGCTTGGCTTCCCCTGCTCCACCCGGGGGCTCCCCGCTCTCCTCCCCTCCCCGCCCCGCGGACCCCTCCCGGCCGCTGCGGGAGCGGAGAGGGAGGCCGGAGAGGGAGGCCGGAGGGGGAGGTCGGAGGGGGAGGACGGCGTCACCAGGCGGGCGGGGAGCCCGCGGTCCGGGGCGGGGCGCCGGGGAATCCCAGCCGGAGCGAGCGAGCCCGGGAGGTGCGGGCGGGAAGGGGAGGGCGGCGCGCGGGGAGGTGAGCCGAGCGGAGCCGGGAGCCGCGGAGGCCCCGCCCCCGCCTCCGAGCCGGCTCCTCGCCGCCGCCTCCGGAGCCGCTCACTTCGCTCCTCGCCTCTGGACGGACGGCGGCGGCGGCGGCGGGGCGGGTGCCACATCCGCGATCGCAGGGAGGGAGCGCAGAGGACCTGGAGCCATCCCGCACCGGAGAGCCCCCCGCACCCCTCCGCCTTGGAGAGGACACACACCCCGGCCTCCGAGGGGGCATCTCCCGGGCGCGAGGGGCGGCGGCGCCCAGCCTCGGTCTCCCTCCGCCGGCGGGGTGCAGCGCTGCCCGGAGGAGGCTCCGGGGACACCTTGCAGGTACCGATCGCTGCGCGGAGGGAGCGACCCTCGGAGGGAGCGAGAGCCCAGGGGTCCCCGGGTCGGCGCAGCGCAGAAGCGGAGCCCGGAGGAGCCCGGGGCGGAGCGGGCCGGGCAGCCCGCGGGCCCCGACGGCGCGCTCCTGGGCCGGCCCGCGGCACACGCAGACCCTGATCGGCGGCGGCGCCCTCGGGCCTCGGGGCTGCGGCGGGGCGGCCAGCCATGACCTTGGGGCGCAGCGGGGCGGCCTCGGTGGTGCTGAACGTGGGCGGCGCCCGGTACTCGCTGTCCCGGGACCTGCTCAAGGACTTCCCGCTGCGCCGCGTGAGCCGGCTGCACGGCTGCCGCTCGGAGCGCGACGTGCTCGAGGTGTGCGACGACTACGACCGCGAGCGCAACGAGTACTTCTTCGACCGGCACTCGGAGGCCTTCGGCTTCATCCTGCTGTACGTGCGCGGCCACGGCAAGCTGCGCTTCGCGCCGCGGATGTGCGAGCTGTCCTTCTACAACGAGATGATCTACTGGGGCCTGGAGGGCGCGCACCTCGAGTACTGCTGCCAGCGCCGCCTGGACGACCGCATGTCCGACACCTACACCTTCTACTCGGCCGCCGACGAGCCGGGCACCGGGCCCCGCCAGGAGGAGGAGGAGGAGGAGCGGCCGCGGCGGCGGGCCGGCGAGGCGGCGCCCTCCCGGCGCTGGCTGGAGCGCATGCGGCTCACCTTCGAGGAGCCCACGTCGTCGCTGGCCGCCCAGGTGCTGGCCAGCGTGTCGGTGGTGTTCGTGATCGTGTCCATGGTGGTGCTGTGCGCCAGCACGCTGCCCGACTGGCGCGCCGCGGCCGCCGACAACCGCAGCCTGGAGGACCGGAGCAGGTACTCCGCCGCCGCCGGCCCTGGGAGGGAGCCCTCCGGGTAGGACGCACTTGCTTCTCTGCCCGTGGCGTCCGTCCGTCCGTCCGTCCTGTCGCCAAGTCTGTGCGTCCCCCGTGCCTCGTCGTCGTCGTCGTCGTCGTCGGTCGGGTCGCGTTCTCTGTCCTGTTTGCCTCTGGGAGGCCGGCCCATCTAGGTGTTGGGGGTCCAGCGATACCCCCCTCATCTCCCCAAGGCGTGGCCGGCAAGGCAAGGGACGGGCGGATGGAGCCTCACTCCCCATCTCCATCCCCATTTCCCCCTGGCACTAGCGGCTCTGGTGCAACTAAGACACATACAAACCGCCCCTCTCTTGGGTGAATCGCCAGACTTGGAGAGGGGTAGCTAGAGACAAACCTTTGTAGTTACTTTAAAATATATTTAAATATATATATATATATATATATATATATATATATATATATATATATTTTTTTTTTTTTTTTTTTTTTACAGAGAGGAAGAGAGAGTTGGAAACGATGAGAGAGAGTCACCGATCAGCTGCCTCTTGCACACACACACACACACACACACACACACACACACACACCCGGGGATATGCCTGCAGCCAAGGTCCATGCCCTTGACCGGAATCGAACCTGGGACCTTTCAGTCCCCAGGCCGAGGCTCTATCCACTGAGCCCAACCGGTTTCGGCTGTAGTTTACTTTGGGGCAGTTCCCAACCGGTTAGCGTTAGATTTCTGTAAAGTTTTCTCGGTAAGTAGGCAACAATTTGAAATTGAACCCGAGAGCAGTTTGTGGATTCTTTGCCCGTTGGGGGTGATATTTTGAAAAGATGGTGGTCTTGCTATGTTGAAGGAGGTCTGCTCGACACTGTCCACACTTGCTATGCACACTGCACAACATGTACCGTAATGGGGTTGTTATATTGTAAAGGAGACTGCCTTATCTATAGGCTCAATCTAAAGAATGGATGTCATCGTGTTCTTCTCTCTCCTTCTTTCCTGCAAAGTGTGGAGTTCAGAGAGCACCTGCCCACCATTGGGTACCAAAGACTCACCCTGTAGCACTCAGAGGGGTCTTCCGTGTGGAGAAGGGAAAAACATCATTGGGAGAGGAGAAACATCTAAACTGCTCCAGACCCAGAACCAGTGTTTGAATAGTTAATTTAAAACACACACACACACACAAAAAAACTTTACTAGGATGAAAGGGAAATATAGAAATCCTTTCCTTAGATCCTTCTTACCTGGGTAAAAGTGGGCTTTTCAGGGGAGACTGCCTGTTTGGGCACCATACAAAATTGCTTGTTTTGTTTTACCTTTGATACTGTTTTGAGATGCCCCTTCAACCCTTTTTTAAAATGAGGTTGCTGCCGTTAATCTTATCCTGACAGGCATGTGCATGTTTCTAATGCTGTCATTTCTCTGCCTTGCTATTGCAGTGGGTGTTTTCCCTATAATAGTCTTGCTTTGGAGAGGAAAGATCGTTTTCTTATAAATGTGAGAAGTAAATAAAATCGCCCAGTACTGTGGAGTCCATTACTGCTATGCCACGTTGGCAAGAAATCCAAGATGCATGCTTTGGAAGGAAATTCATTAGAAAACTAATTTTGTTTAATGTATTAGGTTTTGAGTTTTGAGTTTATCAATAAGAATTACTTATCTGGTACTACAACAGTACAATTAAATTAATCTAGATACATAAATACATAAGTGCCTTTGATTCTTTTTTTTTTTTTCTTTTTTTTTGCCTTTGATTCTTTTAGTGGGCCATAGGAAAATGATTGGCCTTGAAAGGATTCACTAGTAATTGTAGACTTCTACGGTTAGTGAAGGTTTAAGCTGCATTAGCAAAGGAAGCAGGAGAAATGAGCTATTACTACAAATATTTAGGGGAGTTGGCTAAATCAGTATATCAGCAAACACAATCAAATAAGCTGAATAATAATTTTTTTTGGGGGAGTGGGAGTGTTTGAGGAGAAGGGAAGGGCAGTCTGGACATCTTAATGTAAAGCATTTGGAAAGAAATAGGAGACAAGGATAATAATAATGGGGGGGGGGGGGGAGAGAGAGAGAGAGAGAGAGAGAGAGAGAGAGAGAGAGAGAGAGAGAGACACACCAAAAAGGGAAGAGGCAGATGGAAAAGAAGAAGACTGCAAAAGAAGTGAAGAAAGAAGATAAGGGTACTGCTTAATTTGTGTATAAGTATTTTATGTATGTATATAATTACTCAAGTCAGAACTGTTTCCTAGATACGCAGATATTTCAGGCAAAAGCATCTTTTTCTTGCCTTAATGGCCCAGTTTTAAGCTTCATTTGGGTGATAGGTATATGGAAATCAGTATCTGTAATTCCAGGGAGGTAAACCAAGGGATGACTGGATGACCAGGGGTCGCACATTACAGAGGGAGCCTCCCACAGCCTCCTCCAACCAAGAGGGCCCTAAACTGGCATTTTGAGTTTAACCTCTCAACTCCTGCTCGCTTGTGGTTGATGAAGTTAGTCTTTATAACACATCATTCTGATCACTGGTTATATTTGACATCTACCACATAAAGTCAAAACTTCTGTTTTGGCCTACCAGGCTCTTTATGTCACAATTTGTCTTTGTTTTTGTTTTGTTTTTAACTTAGCCCATTGTAATTTGCAAGGATCTTGTGAGTATCTGCTGTGTTCAAGGCACCGTAGGTGTTTCAAATATAGTAACTTTTTTTTTTTTTTTTTTTTTTTTAAAGAAAAGGTCAAGTTGGTGAGGTAGGAAGCAGAGAGTTGACCAACTGTTTGAGTTGAGTTGTTTTGAGAAGGCCTTCAAGGGGTGGGAAGATGGACACAAGCCGTCTTTGGAAGGTTGCAGAGGTATTATTTATATAAACTAGTGTAAATAATGTGTGCCACCAGGGAACAAAATAAGGAGAATTTTCCAGGTGAAAGAAATGGCATGGACATAGGCTTGAAATCTGTATATTATGCTTAGTGGGTATGGATCCAGTGAAGGAGTGAGAGGTAGATAGAGAGCCGATGCTAGGAGGGCTGGAATGAGAGGGTGGATAGTTTTATTTGACAAGTTGTGGTTAGTCTTTTATGTGTTTGGGGGGACTTGGTTATGTGTATAAAATAACGTCATGAGTTTTGCACTGTTGATTGGAGGTGGGGGAGATTGAAAACAGGAGGATGAGTTTAGAGATCTATCCAGAGGGAGGGAAGGAGAGCTTGGATTGCTTGGAGGTAGTGAGAATGGAGACAAAATGACAACTCTGGGAGATATTAGGAAGGCTCAAAATTAATCTAGGGCATTGGAAGGAGACAGGCTCAGGGACTGGTGAAATGGATTTCCAGGAGCTAGGAGCACTTCCGCCCCCTGCAGGCTCCATTTGTCCAGGCTGGCCTGTTCCCCTGTTTCCAAGCCATTCCTTACTGTGCATTTCCTTGCCTATTGAAACGGGATCATACATCAAGCCCAGCTCAGATGCTATTTCTCTTGTGAAGCCTTTTCTGATTACCTAGTAAATGTGATTTTTCCTCCTGAATTTCTTGAGGGATTGCTTACTTGTGCTACTTATTTGGCATCTATAATATCCTTTCTAGCGTGGTCATTATTTTTTCAAATAAACACGTCCTAGCTCTAAACTAGAAGAGTTGAAAAGCCCTAGGAGGCAGCTAAATTCTCTTATACTATTTATTATGATAGCATCTTCTAGGGGGGAAAATGATTATCCCAGCACAATGAATACTACTGTTTATATTACTTTTCAGAATACAACCTTCCAGGGATATATCTTCACTTTCAGAGCCTGAAGAGCTGCGTGGGATAGGGCTGTGGCCTTCGGACAGCCCACATTTTAGTTGAGGACAGCGGGATCCTGTGCTAGGATGAGAAAAGTCTATTAAATCAAAGAACAGTTATTTACGATGTACTCACTGTGCAAAAGAAGTAAAAGATAACAATATGATTTCTTTTTATTGGCCTTTTGAAATTGTGGAATGGCACACAATCTGAAGTTTGGAAGAAATCTTGGGAGGTTTTTCAAATCAGTAATTTAAAACATTTGAGTGTGGCTATGGTCTTTTTCATTGATTTGTTTTAGATGATTAATAATCATATAAATGATAGTTTAAAGCCCATAAGCTATCAAAGCAAGCCTTTCTCCATTACCTACCCATTCAGTTCTTCTTTCATGCTACCAAAGTTATTTTCTGTCATTTCAAAGTCATTTTATATATTTACAAGGCATATCATATACATTTTCAAAAAAACAAACAAAAACAAAAAAAAAACCTCACAGCATGATAACACTGTCCTGAAACTTGCTTTATTAACTAACCAACATGTCATGGAATTGGTTCCATCTACATATATAAAAGCCTAAGTGACCATTTGACCATTCAACTGGTAGCTATGATGTGCATTGACCACCAGGGGCAGATGCTCAATGCACAGGCATAGAAACATGGAATAGACTGATGAATCTCAGAGGGAAGGGGGAAGCGGGGAGGACAAGAAGCGATTAACCAAAGATCTTATATGCATACTAGAGGCCCAGTGCACATATGATTTATGTACCGGTGGGGTCCCTCGGCCTGGTCTGCGGGGATCAGGCCAAAACCAGCCATCTGACATCCCATGAGGGGTCCCGGATTACAAGAGGGCCTCCAGTATGAGTATAAAGAGCTGTCTGATTCTCTTATGCAGCTGCATAATATTCCCTCGTGTAGAATAATTTCTAGATAATTTGTATTGTTTCTTGTGTGTAGGATATGCTGTAGAGAATATCCTTGTGCATGTGCATTACTTTGCTTTCATGAAAGTATATCCATAGGCTAATTTCCTGAAAGTTAAGTCATAGCGCATATACACTTTTAATTTTCATAGGTAATTCCAAATTGCTCTCCAAAAATATTATATCAGTTTATACTCCCACCAGTAATGTGTGAGGGACCATATTTCTTCATACTCTACATAGTGTCAATTATACTTTTATTCTTTATCATGCTGTAAAGGT